AGGTGTGGGGCCGGGGGGGGAGGGGGGACAGCTGTGGGCAGGTGTGACAGGGACGGGCGGGGGTCAGGGACAGGGGTGGCAGGGACAGGGGTGTCCAGATGTGTCCAGGTGTGACAGGGCCAGGTGTGTCCAGGTGTGTCAGGGATGTCCAGGTGTGACCGGGCCAGGTGTGTCCAGGTGTGACAGAGCCAGGTGTGTCCAGGTGTGTCAGGGCCAGGTGTGTCAGGGCCAGGTGAGTCAGGGCCAGGTGTGTCCAGGTGTGACAGGGCCAGGGCTGGCGGGGCCAGGTGTGACCAGGTGTGGTGGGGACAGCTGTGACCAGGTGTGACAGGGATGTGCAGGCATCAGGGCCAGGTGTGACAGGGCCAGGTGTGACAGGGACAGGGGTGACAGGGCCAGGTGTGACCAGCTGTGTCCAGGTGTGTCGGGGATGTCCAAGTGGCAGGGCCAGGTGTGACCAGGTGTGGTGGGGACAGGTGTGACAGGGCCAGGTGTGCCCAGGTGTGCCCAGGTGTGCCCAGGTGTGCCCAGGTGTGGGGGGTTGTCTAGGTGTCAGGGGCAGAGGTGTCTGGCTGTTCTTGGGGCACACACGTGTGCCAGGTGTGTCAGGGACAGGTGTGAGCAGGAACTGGGAGTTCATGGGGGCACTGGGAGTTACTGGAGCTAACTGGGACTCACTGGGGGTTACTGGGGTGAACTGGGTGAACTGGGACATACTGGGAGCACTGGGAGAGCTGTGAGCTACTGGGGGCACTGGGACTGACTGGGGTTCACTGGGCGAACTGGGAGTTACTGGGAGTTACTGGGATTCACTGGGAGCACTGGGGGTTACTGGGAGCACTGGGGGTTACTGGGATTCACTGGGAGCACTGGGAGCACTGGGATTCACTGGGAGCACTGGGGGTTACTGGGATTCACTGGGAGCACTGGGAGCACTGGGATTCACTGGGAGCACTGGGTGTTACTAGGATTCACTGGGAGCACTGGGATTCACTGGGAGCACTGGGGGTTACTGGGATTCACTGGGAGCACTGGGAGCACTGGGATTCACTGGGAGCACTGGGTGTTACTAGGATTCACTGGGAGCACTGGGATTCACTGGGAGCCCACGTGTGCCCAGCTGTGCCGCGCTGTGGGCGGAGTTTTCCCCGCGGTGGGCGGGGTTTGCAGCACGGGGGCGGTGTGTTCCCCGCGTGTTGGGCGTGGTTTCACCCATATAAGGACGGGTAATCCCCGCCCCCGCCCCGAGGCCCCGCCCCCCTTTTGGCGCAGTCCGCGCGCGCCGCCGCAGGGCCGGGGGCGGGGCCTGGGCTCTGGGCACGGGCGCTGATTGGCTGAAAACGTGGGATGGGCAGGGGGGCGGGGCTTGGGCGGAGCGAGACGGGACTGGGAGTGGGGGGGAACTGGGGGAACTGGGGGAACTGGGATCCCCCTCTCTGGGTGT